GGCGATAGCGGGCAGCCTTGCCGCGTACCATTCGATATTGCAAAGGTTCTGGATAGTGTTCCATTGATCCGGACCTGGGCCGTCGGTCTGGAGTAGATCGCCATAATCCATGTCATCATCACCTCCCCCAGGCCCAACGCCTGAAGAGTCAGTTCCATGAACTGACAACCGACGCGGTCAAAAGCCTTTTCCGCGTCGGTGGACAGAAGCAGAAGGGGCTGTTTCTGGGTGGAGGATGCATGGATGACATCCAACACCCGTGTTACATTATCCCTTGCTTCCCTAGATGGCATGAATCCGACCTGGTCTAGATGTACAATATCTTGTAAATATGGGATTAAACGGGATGTCAGTATTTTCGTGAAAAGTTTCAGGTCTGAGTTGAGCAATGAGATGGGCCTATAGTTTGCGCATAGAAGAGGGTCTTTCTCTGGTTTTGGGATTACGGTGACATGTGCTCGCAACGAATCCATGGGAAACGGTACGCCTCGGCCCACTGCATTGTACCCTTTCAAGAAGTAGGGGGATAGGGTTTCTAAGAACGTCTTGTAGTAGGGTAGGGAAAGGCCGTCTGGACCCGGAGCTTTTCCCGATTTAGTCCTGCGTAGGGCAGCCCCTAGTTCCTCCCCTGTGATAGGTGCCTCCATGGATCTCACCGCCTCCTCCGGTATAACTGGCATCCCCGATTCAGCTATGTACTCCGCTATCTTAGTTCTAAGGTCTAGTGTGGCCTGGTGCGCGGTTTGGCTTTGGAGATTATATAGGGAAGAGTAATAATCTGCAAATGTCTCTGCTATGTCTGCTGTCCTACACAACTTCGCACCGGATGGAGACAGTATCTCCGCTATGTAGGATTTGGCTTGTTGAGTACGTAACGCCCTGGCTAGTGGCCTGTCACACTTGTCTCCTAATTCATAGAAAACCCGTTTACATCTATTCAACATACTCCTGGCTTTGCCCAAGCAAATGGACAATAATTGTTCCCGGAGACTCGTTAGTTCCCCAAGGACGGATCTGGCAAGAGACTGTTTGTGGATTGATTCCAGGCTGGCTATGTCCGCCAGAAGCTCTTCCACCTTAGCCGATCTCTGTTTTTTAAGTCGTGCACCCATTTTAATAAAGGAACCCCTGATGTATGCCTTATGGGCCTCCCAGAGAATCATGGGATCACAGTCTTCTGTGGCATTGCAAGCAAAGTAGGTGTCTAAATCCCTTGTAATCTCTGCTACCAGGGTGGGGTCATGTAGGATAGAGTCATTCAAGCGCCAAGTCCATGACCCCCGCTCCCGTGGCTTCAGGTCGAGGGTCAAGGATATCGGGGCATGGTCCGAGAGAGAAATGACTCCAACGGACGCCTCCCGCACTACTGACAGATCTCTGTGTCCCACTAAAAAATAGTCTATCCGGGAATATGAGCCATGTGGGTTGGAATAGAACGTGTAGTCACGTTCCTTTGGGTGCAGCACACGCCAGATATCAACTAATTGGAAGTGCCGCAGACATTTTTTGACCCTCCTGAGAGCTGAGTAGGAGAGGTGTGAAGCCGATCTCGAGCTATCTAGAATGGGGTCTAGGACCATGTTGAAGTCCCCGCCCAGTACCAGGACCCCCTCCATGAATTCCCCCAACTGTTCCAGGGTGTCCTCCAAAAAAGGGATCTGACCCACATTAGGCAAGTATACGTTAGCAAATGTGCATAAAGTAGGACCCACTCTGCCCTTCACAAAAATGAATCTGCCGTCCGGGCTATATCGCGCCACTACGAATTGCCACTGTGCGGACCTATGCACCACAATGCTCACACCCTTACATTTACCATCCGGGGAGCCGCAGTGATAAGCATATGGAAAGTGCTGGTTTTGAAACCTGGGAATACTAGAGACCTTGAAATGCGTTTCTTGGATAAAGCCTACCTGGGCCTTTAGGCGTTGAAGTTCGTTGAGAGCTGCCGTTCTCCTCTCCGGAATGTTCAGGCCCTTGGCATTCCAAGACACCACGGTACAGGATACTGGAGGCATCCTCACTGCCATCTGACGCTCAGGAAAGCGGAAGATTTCCCTTAGGAGAGAACGAAAGGGTGGAACGTAGAGGGAAAGTGGAGGGAGATGGGGAGGGGAGAAGAGAGGGGAGTAGGATGAGGGGGAGAGAAGAAAAGCGAGAGGTTGGATTAGACCCCAAGGCCTAGATTGTCGGTGGTCTATCCAGCACAAAAAGGAAACAGGGGGGGGGGATTACACGTTAGACAAGGTAAACACACAAAAATCTAGCGGGGTAACTACCCCTAAATTCACCCACCTAGCGGATTAAATTCCCTAGGTGATGCAACCTATGTGGGAGTTTGGCTGGACAAAGCGGGCTCCACTCTGCTTCCCCGCTCCACACCAGGACATTAATGAGTGGCAAAACCACTCTTAGTAGTATCTCAGAGTGTTAAGCACCCATATTGTAGACCCCGGGCCAATGTATCAGGATGAATGAGGTCTCAGATAAACAGTACAGTAAACATATAACCAAAACAAGGCAACCTGGAGGAATCCCCACCACCCCCCAGTCGTCCCGAATACCAGTCCTGGCCCGCTACCCGGAATACCTCGTAATCCAATGTGCAAGTCCTTAGACTCCGACTTGCACCCCCGAAGAGGGTGCGGGACAGGAAGGCAAGTGTTTTTAACCAGCTTTACATCATTTAGTGCTAGGCAACCGGGAGTTCGACAAACTCCTGGGCTACACACGTAGTATACGATCCTTTCCCCCTGCCAGGGGTCAGGAGTCACAGCAGTAGCATATGGTCTCTCATGGGCTATGTTGACAAAACAGTTTCCTGTAGCCCCTCGGGCAGGCCTCTATGTGTAAGGCTGCCCGCTCGGCCGCCCATAGTTCCCATGGCAAGGGTAGTTACCCAACTAGTGTTCGCCTGCTGTTGGCGTGTGTGAATCTCCCTGTCGCTCAGATCTGGTTTCGGGTTTATTAGGGTTCGCTGGTTCTACCCCGGGAGGAGGACCGCCTCCGGCGTTGTTGCTGCGAAGGCCGTCGAGGACGGCTGGAGGGTGTCGGGCGAGTCCGTAGTCTAGCAGAGCCCCCAGGAAGATGCTGAAGCCAATTCGGAACCGGGAAAGGCTCCATTTCCAGGAAGTCAAACATTGCAGGTAGATCCGTCATTTGTCTCAGGGCGAAGAAGGCAGTATTCTTCCGTATAATGAGGTGGAAGGGGAATCCCCATCGGTACACAATCCCTGCTTCCCTCAGGCGTGTCAGTAGCAGTTTTAGGATCATCCTCCGCTGTAAGGTGGCCCTGGAAAGGTCTGGCAGAATACGTATTGCGGCTCCATCAAAATCAATTGGCCTCTGGGACCACATTTTACGTAAAATTTCCTCCTTGACCGGGAACCTTTGCAGTCTACAAACAATGTCTCGGGGCCTGTCTGGGTCCTCGGAACATGGGCCCAGTGCCCGGTGGGCACGATCTAATTCAATCCCCGTAGTGGGTGGATGGCCCAGCAGCATGTTAAAGATGCCCACAACAGTATCATGTACGTTTTCTTGTCCTGTAGCCTCAGGCACGCCTCGGACTCTCAGATTGTTACGCCTGTTTCTGTCCTCAAGATCCTCAATATGCAGCTGCATATCTGATATTATTCCTGCTTGTTCTTCTCTCGACTCCTCTAAGGCTTTCAATCTCCCTTCTATGGCCGCCGCGCCTGTTTTGTTCCCCTCCACCCCCGTGGTCAGGTTGGAGACGTCTTGTCTCAGACACTGTATGTCCCGGCTGTGGGCTTCTTCTATTTTCGCCACCATTGCCTCAATATCTGCCTTAGTGGGCAATAGGCTCAAGATGGCCCCTATATCCAGATCTGTTTGGGGCCTTTATGGCCCTGGAGTGCCGGGTCTCGTGTCTCCCGTCTGCCCACTTGACAGGGAGGACCCTGGGCAGTCTTCTGTGGGCCCCTAGGCTGGGGAAGACGGAGGAGAGAGCCTGGGATTGGACGGAAACTCGGGTGTGGGTACCGGCGGCTGCGCGCCTTTACTCGAGGCCGCGGCTTTTCCGGGGCCTACCCCCGCGGTCACCGGAGCGTTCGGGGAGAAAAAGTTTTTTAGTTTACCCGGTGCCTGAGGTCCAGGGCCTTCTTCTGCTTCTTGCCTTCTCTGCCCCTATTCATTTTTGGGGTCCGTAGGTGCTGTATAATGTCCCGGTATTGGAGTGGATCGGGAGAGCAGGGAGAAGACGCATGCTCACTCCATCATGGCCAGGACACACCCCGGGTGCATGCATTTGTAATCTTCAGACCTAAAATAAGCATTTTAAGGTGTACAAAAAAAATGCAAAAACAGTTCTGGCAGCAAAAGGGTTAAAAATATATATATCTTAAAATGGCATTTGAAATGATCTTAACACGCTAAAGCTTATATAAGGTTTTAATAATGGTTTGTACGTGTTTATTCGTAAAAGACATGTAATGTGCAGACTCATATAAAAGTAATATCTGTCAGAGAACTTTCTCTTCACGCTCTATTTGTTCACAGTAGTTAGTGCGGTCCCGCGGCAGTGACGTCATGATTGTGCGCCGCATACGCAGGAAACTGCTGCTCAATGTGTACACTGGCAAACGGCAGCATGGAAGCCTCCAGCGGAGGGGAGAAGCAGCCGTTGCTCGGATTCGGGCAGGCGGTGATCGGTCCCCCTGGCTCTGGGAAGACTACTTATGTCCGAGCCATGCACGCCCTTCTCACCAGCATGGGCCGCCCGGTCTCTATTATTAATCTGGACCCGGCCGGGGAGGACGAGCCTGGGGCGGCAGTGACCCTGCGGGAGCTCCTGGCTCTGAGTGAAGTGATGAGTGAGCTGCATCTGGGACCCAACGGCGCGCTTCTCTACTGCATGGAGTACCTGCAGGGTAACCTGGACTGGCTGCGGGACAGGCTGATAAGTCTGCGGGGCACTTACCTCCTGTTTGACTGCCCGGGGCAGGTGGAGCTGTATACCCACCACCCGGCTCTGCCCAGCATTCTCCGACAGCTGCAGGCCTGGGGCCTACGGGTGAGATGATCAGCAACTGACCCACATAGGTCTTATTAAGATACTCAGTCACAGGTTGTCCTGTATGAAAAAAACGATCTACCCTTTCTATGCTCTCCAGACACTCTCCCTGGAATCCATAGATTGTTGTATATGCCCATTAGAAACTCACCTCCCATGTGTGCAACAATTGGTGAAGTAGGTGGCAGATCCATGTAACCTGCAATCCATCAAACCTCTATAAACCATCTGTAGGGGTGGGTGACTGTCTAGATGGTGACACCATGCAGATCCACACAGGAAAAAGCCAGCACACCAACTGAACATCCAACAAGACAGTTCACTGACTGCTGCAGACAACGGTTCTGGTGTTGTACCATTGTCCCCTTCCTCTGCTTTGCAACTCACAAGCAGCATCTGCTTTGTGAATGGTAAAGCAGAGGGAGAGGGCAATGGCACAACTTTGGAACTGTTGGCTGCTATAGACACAGTTCTGGTGTGGCTTTTGCTGTACTTTGTGGCCTGGGCTCAGTGGGGCTTACATATAGCAAATATGTAAGAAAACACCTAATTATAGAAAAAGATTGTGTTAATGCTACTGACAAACTGTATCATGTCATTTTTTTATGTTGCCCATAGTTACACTTTATCCTCCTTCTGGTCAGGTGACTGTGATTTGGGTCTGGTGATTAGTTCCTCAGACCTGAGTGCTGCATCCTGAGAGGAAGTCGCATGCTACTCCCAGATATTTAATGGAGCCCAACAAAACAACAGCATGGCAGGGGGGCAAGTGAAAGGCAAGTGTCAACGGGTGGAGGGAGTTTCTTGCAAGAGAACCTGTCATTTTGTCCTCATTTGGCTTTGGGACATATTCTCTGATAGGATGGGGACATTGGTTTATCAGTATATGTAAAGTCTAGATCTAGCCAGCGCATTACAATCTGTGTACAATCGCCTTTAGTTTTACAACAACCATGTACTGCCCAAAACTATCTGTATTATCTATATATAATCAGGAAGGCCGTTGTAAAACCTGCTTTGTGGTAAATCTAAAGGAGATACTGTGATTGGTAATCTTGACAACTGTTTGTTGTTTTTTTTTTGCTTTATTTTCAGCTGTGTGCAGTACACCTTGTTGATTCTCATTACTGTACAGACCCTGCCAAGTTTATCTCTGTTCTGTGTACCTCTTTAAGCACCATGCTTCATGTAGAACTGCCACACATTAATATCCTCTCAAAAATGGATCTGATTGAACAATATGGCCGACTGGGTAAGTCTGCAAAACTTTGTAGAGATTACATTGGCAGCAAGCTGTCAGATTTGACTGCTGCCCGTCTTGAGGGTGTAACCTAGCCTTGCTAAACCAGTGTTCTTCTAGAGGTTGCTACGGGGTGTTATGAGCAATTTCTGCCTCATAAGTAACCACTGACACTGTCAATCTCTTTAGCTATCTGTAAGGGTGGCATTCTCCCCAGTGATCACATGTAAGGAGCATTCTTCCCAGTGACCGCAAATGTAAGGAGCATTCTTCCCAATGACCACAAATGTAAGGAGCATTCTCCCTAGTGACCTCAGATGTAAGGAGCATCCTCCCTAGTGACCTCAGATATAAGGAGCATCCTCCCTAGTGACCTCAGATGTAAGGAGCATCCTCCCTAGTGACCACAGATGTAAGGAGCATCCTCCCTAGTGACCTCAGATGTAAGGAGCATCCTCCCTAGTGACCTCAGATGTAAGGAGCATTCTTCCCAGTGACCTCAGATGTAAGGAGCATTCTTCCCAGTGACCTCAAATGTAAGAAACACATGTTATCCCATGGATCAACTGATTTCATGGGAAATCTTGTTGCTACAGCCATTGAAGATTAATTTTTCTAATGAACAATGGGGGTTAAAGAAGGGCTAACTCTGCATGTTCTGTTACATAATTTTAACCAACCAGCATAGTGGATTGCAGCTGTTTTGATAACTGGCAGATGTCCCAACACTGGCCATGCTCTGTAACTAAGAAATCCATCTTTATGATTGAATGGTTAGCCTTCGAGTTCAGTTGTAGTCCTACTAAAAATATGGCTACTAGACTGTTATTTAAAAAGAATTTGATTGCACAGTATAAAGGACAGGTTTACTTTTATATACTTACAGTAATAACCCAGCCATAAGTAACCATGCTGCTATTACCCTAACTGCTCCATATTGAAGCTGAATCCTAGTCTAGTCTTTGCCACCTCTGCTCAGTCCCCATAGATCTGAATGCGGTTTTACACTGAAGATCTCCAGTCTGTTTGGCCACATTCAAATCTATGAGATCATTGCACAGGTGCGGCCAGTACTAAAGAATGTTTCTGCAGAGAGGAGGTAAGTTGTGGATTAGTTTATATAATAGCAAACCTTTTCTTAATTCTTTCTAATGTTACTCAAATGTGTAGGGACTTTTTCACGTTGTACTGTAAGATAACTTTTCCAGGTTTTTCTAACTTCTGCCTGGCACTTCCAAAGCCACATGTCTGAATGTTCATACTGGAGGAGTTGCAGCACAAGTAGCATGTTTTTTTTTCCCCTGATACCTCTTTTGTTGTAGAGTAGACGGACAAAAGGCTGCCTAAAAAAGTGCTGGAGGCTCAGCAGCATCCAATGCAGTTTACACAAAGCTTAGCAGTTATGTGTTCAATGGGGGTAATTCAACAATTCTCTTCTTTTGCAGCATTTAACATTGATTTCTACACTGATGTTATGGACCTTTCCTATTTGGTGGAGCATTTAACCTCTGACCCTTTTTTCCGGCGACACAAACGGCTTCATGAGAAACTGGCTGAGGTCATTGAAGATTACGGACTGGTGTCATTCATGCCACTCAGCATCAAGGTCAGAGAATAAAGAGAATATTTTGATGATAGTCTTTTTAAATGGAGATTTTTCTTACACTAGCTGGTTATTGTGGGATACAGATGGCCATACAACAACCAGAAATGTATGTGGGACCAATATAATTAGTTACAAATTAACTTAGAACAAAGTCCATATCCAAATTCGCGCTGCCACGGTCTCAAAATCGCAAGGTATATGTGGTGCCCAGGTGACCACACGGATGGTGCCGTGCAAAACACTAATAGTAAATACAAGTAATCACCGGCACACACTTGAAGGGTTTTTTAAGTATTGATATGTTTATTCATACCCAATGTCGCATACTGTCATACAGTGCTTAGCATTGGGTATTGAATAAACATGTCAATACTTAAAAAAACCCTTCAAATGTGTGCCGGTGATATACTTTTATTTACAAATTAACTTAGGACACGAGATATTAGAATGCGTGGGTTGGGGAAACATTTTAGGTGGCCTTCCAATTTGGGTTGGGAGATGAGCATGTGCTATAGCTCACAAGGACCAGTTTATCATGGTGCCAGAATCTCTGCACTGCTTTTCGTATAGGACTACAGTAAACTTCCCATTATCCAACATTCAAATAATATTATGTCCTGGATTTATTTATTTTTTTGCCAGTTGCCTGATAGACATGTGCACACTAAAAAAATTTAATGGGCAACTAAATGTATTAATAACTCTCAAGCCAGCAGAAACTACAGTTATCATCCGACATCTACCAATCCCCATGAGTGCACGATAACTGGGAGTTTACTGTATATGCTATTGGTGCAAAGGCTCCTTGTGCAAGAAGAACTAAGCCAGCAGCAGATTAGGGCTGGAATATGATGTGTTGGGTTTTAAAGATTTGAAAGGGTGAAGTTACAGCTTATTTGTGGGTTAGGTGAAGTGTTAACCCATTCCTGCTAAGTGTGAAAGCCTGTCACAAGACATGCAGGGACTGTCATGGCTGTTCTCCCTGAAAATGCTAGCTGTCTCTTTTTTATGTTCTCTGAATCGCTAGCCTAGGAGTATGCAGATGAGGACATTCAGAAGTCCTTGTCTAGATACTTGGCCGGGGCCATTAACACCTATTGTGACAGGTTTTCTTTAAGCGTTTAGGGTGGAGGCTTGTTTTAGGGAAGAGCAGATCTGTATGCATAATGTCTTAACCCCTTCGTGACTGACGACGTACAGTGTACGTCGCCAGCATCGGGGCTGTTTAAACAGACTCCCGGCGACTTTTGCCGCCGGGACTCTGTTTAAACTTGTAGAGCCGACTGTCGGCATGGAATGGACAACAGCGTGCTGACCTTTTCTTTGATATTTTCAATATGCAGGGGCAATTGCTGTTCCATTCTGGCCTTTTACAAAATGTCTTTAAAAAGAAGTTGAGAGAGAAAACCTGGGGGGGTGTGGCTAACCCATGAGTGAGTGAGGATGTGTGTGCTCTGAGCTCCTGCACCTGCTACATCCACATCAACTAGCCAGTGCCTTGTAGATCCTGTAGCTGCCTTGGTCGGACTAATCAGCGGTCGTCTTGGAGTCTCTGTACCCGCTCTACTAGCATCAGCCTGCTATCAATTTTATTTATCTTTTTTCCTTGGACTGCCTGCTCCGCTCGCACTGGTCCGCTGACATACCAGCAGAATGAAAAAGAGCAGTAAAAAGAAAAAAACCGGGGAGATAATTCAACCCTCCCAGTCGGCGACTAGAACAAACATCGGAACATATTTCAACAAACAGGGAGCAGAGGAGTCAGCATGCACGCCGCAAAAACAGCCCGAGGTCGGTGAGGATGGGAGAGTGATTTCACCTGCCAGTGTCTCTCCGTTAAGCAGTGAGACTGGGCAGACGGGCTGTGATGGATTATCAGAATCAGGCAGTGAAGTTATGGAGATGGAACTGCATGGTGCTATGGGGAAATACCTTTCTCAACTTCCCACTAAGAAAGATATTGAAGCAATGCTTCAACGCATAGAAGAATTACATAAGAGGGAAATGAGAGAGATCCGGATTAGCTTTCAGAAATTCCATGAAAGTACAGAGGCTTCGGAAGCAGTGGTACCACAGATACTGAAAGGGTACTCAGCTGTGTGTGTGGGAATGAAAGAGTACCATAATCAACTCCAGACTCTGAGATCACTTGTTGATGACCTGGAAGATCGACACCGCAGGAATAACATCAAGATAAGAGGAATACCAGAGACAGTGGGGTCAGAAGAGCTCTCAAGGTCAGTACAAGACATTTTTAATAAATTCCTGGATAACACAGAAATAGAATATATAGAGATGGACAGAGTGCACCGTATTCCAAATAAATTGACATGTTTATGTAATGGTTCACTATTATACCATACAAACGAAAGAAAAGCTGGTCGCACACTGGATTCAGCTGGAATAGTTTATTAAAGCTTGTACCCTATAACTGGTGTCCCATCCAAGGTCCACCCCGTCTGACAGGTTTCACTCAACCACGGGCTTATCTCAGTAGAGTCTGGTGTGCGGCCAGCTTTTCTTCTGTTTGTATGGGCTTATGTCACAGTCAGGACATGCTCATAGCGGCAAGTACTCGGCTCATTCCTTTCCTGAGTTGAGGAGGAGCGGTGCTTCTTTTGTGGGTTCATTTTTGTAAGTATATGGCATTTTTGATATTACTACTTTTTCCTTTCTTAGGATGAACAAAGCCTAAGGAGAGTCATGGCAGCTGTGGATAAAGCTTGTGGTTTCTGCTTTGGAGAAGAAAACAGATCTCTTGGATCACTTACGTCTGTAGCAGTGGGTGCTGACTTCCATTTTGCATCGTATCCTAATACATACAACTTTTGTGTGTGTAAATTACAGCCGGCTTTGCTAAATGTTTAACCTTTTATTCAATAGCAGTAAATCCTTCTCTTTAAAATAATCCTTAACATATGCTGCAACAGAGCTCTGGCATTTCAGGAGAAATTTGTGCAAAAGGAGACTCGAACAGTGGAAGAAGAGACATTACAGTTGTGAGTTCCATTCTAGTAGAGACTGTATAAATGCCGCAGTAGTAAAAAAAAATTGTGTCCGTATCACAGCACTGTGTACTGCTTTAAAACTGGACATACCACCTCTTTTTTTCTTCTTGTTGGAAGTATCTTGGAAACAAATGCAGTTTTCCCAAAGGTAGCTATGATCTATTATGCATATTCAGACCAGAGGTGTAGAGTGTTATCTGCTTATGTTATGTAAAAGTATGTACATTTCCAG